AAGCTCGTCAGAACAGTTGCCATGAAAATATATGTAGAAAAGACAGAGAGAAGCCATATCAAGTCCGTGAGAATTTCGTAAAAGTATTTTACAGGATTTCAATGAAATATTCGAGTTTAGGAGACAAAGATGTGGAGAATTTGCTAAAGTCTTGATAGTTTACAAATTATAAATTATCAGTCTGAATAATAAATGATTTGTTTTGGGGATTCAATTATAATGGCGAATATATCAACGTAACTATGAACCGTACGTGTCAGTTAAATGGAGTACAGTAACAAATAATACACCCCCCTATATATATATATATATATATATATATATATATATATATATAAACTTTTTCTTTACAATCGGAATTAAGATACCTTTAGCTAATCTTAATTCTGATTGTAAAGAAAATTTTGCTCTGTTTAATGAAAATAAACATTCAGCACTCTTTGTGAGTCAGTTTTAACATATTTCAAATTCTATGTTGTGTTAATAGGACTTGCCTGGATTATACCAACGGATTACTACCTATATATATATATATATATATATATATATATATATAGGGAGAGAGAGAGATGGAGAGAGAGAAAGAGAGAGAGTGAGAGAGAGATTAGAGTGATTAGATTGAATTGCTAATCATACATGGCAGGTGTGAATAAATTTGGAGGGAACTAATATAGGTGTTTTTTTACGGCGGAAAATGTATACATACAGGATTATTTTTCCTATATGACACCGCAAGGTCACAGACAGTAAAATAACACTCGCTTGGTCTGTTCTCTCCCAATCGCTATATTTAGCAAATGACATTGTACAAACCGATTTTTAACATTTTTAGATCGCTGCAAACGCTTTGATGCAAAAAAAAAAAAAAGAAAAAAAAGTTCTCTATTGAAAACCAAATTCACGGATACACTGAAATAGTTTTTGCATGACCCTTCCCCCCACAACAAAAAAAAAATCTGCTGAATTTTATTCAAACAGTATCGAAGAGCTAACTGATAAGTGACTACAAGTCATCGCAAATAATGGTAAATATATACTGTGAATATAGTGTGTGAACTTATCGTTCGGTTCACACTTCCTCATCGTCTAATGAACATGATAAGAGGCATTATTGCGGCTGGGGACCGCTTGTGAACCCAAAATCACACTGAAACTGCTACTATTTGCACATTCGAATGAATACAACATCTGGGATCGTCCTGGGTATGACGATAAACTACATCCGCGTCCTGGGTAAGACGATAAACTACGTCCGACAGCAAGGACTCTGATCAGGAGATTTTGAGGAGCGTGGAACCACCTCTTAATTGCTGGTGTTCCCAGGTCCACACTGACCCGCGGTGGTAGCACCTGTTAGGGGGTCCCAGCTATGGGCAAATAGTTAGCACCCAAACTTGTGTAAAAATAGGTTTTAATACTAGAAATACTTTGTAATAAAAAAAATCATTACCAACAATAATTTTTTTGAAGGAAAAATTATTATCAGCAATACTTTAAATAAAAAATACCAGCAATACAAATAGCTATACACTTTTTGAAAAAAAAAAAAAAGGGAAATATTCCCAGAAATAGATTTTTGAAGAAAAACATTACCAGCAATAAAAATTTTGTCGGCAACCCATTGAGGTTGATATACCGTAAAACAAAACAAACCCAACCAAACATATGGGACATTTGGTCAGCCTTCATTGGGATGTGGCGGGTTCGTCTGACGGAGTCGGCTCAACCGATATCTGGTGAATGCCGCTTAAAAAAGAAAGAAAAAAAAGTAAATGCATATCCCTTGTTACCTGTTTATGACTGGGTTTCCGGTACTTTCTAAAGTTTTCTCGGTCCTTTTTCACTCTCAGTAGCCATATGCATCTTAGTGGCATTATCGGCTTGTTTGGGACAAAATGATAAAAAAAAAAAAATTGAATAAAATAACTGTACTTAACTTTTTGAAGAATAAAGTCGATAAAGAAAAAAAAATATTCATAACTTAATCTGAGAATTAAACCAAGAGAGAATTCGAAAGAGGAGTTTAACTGAAATCGTTTTCTCGTGGACAGGGAGAAATAGAAAAAAAAAAAAAAAAAGAAAAAGATACAGAAAGATACAGAAAAGGTCAGTTGAAATTTCTAGCGTAGATAATGAGGATAGAGTGTTTGGAAAATTTGATACTCACAGGATAGACTGAAGGCAAGAGGGACACATTAGAGCAAGTAGGTTATCTAATTTTTTTTTATACAATGATCAATGTCTACAAGCCTCGAGAGCCACAAATGGTTGAGAGAACTTGGTTAGGAGGGATAGCCAAAAAAAAAAAAAAAAAAAAAACGCACACAAAAAATTATTGAGGACTACGAAAGACAGAACAAGGTAGGGAGCTACGATCTATACGCCCTAAAGAGATCCGACAGAAAGAAGAAGAAGTAACAGCAACTTGGACATTGGAACTATTTAACCCAGAAATATCAGTCAGTTAAGTGATACATCATTTGAAGATCATGTGTCTTTCGATACATGACTGACGAGGTAGATTTTTTTCCCGCAGTAGGTTGCCATTTCTTTCTAAGGTCGACTTGGTTGCAAACTGAGGCTAAAGAACATAGTCTGTCCCGCTCGTCAACCTATAGCTTTGGAGAAAAGGTGGATTCAGGCCTTTCCCAAAGGTATTTGTGCGTAAGGGTATGTAACGAACTCGATGGAATTCGAACTCGCCTCTCCGATTTCTGACTCTGAGCTGATACGCATTACATCAATCTGTCATTACATTTTAAACAAAAATAAACTTTTAATTCTTTTTAAATGTATTCCTTTTTTATTCATAACCACATTAATATAAGGTATCCAGGGGTTGCCAAAAATTTAAAACCCGCTTGTACTAAGGTTACCATTAGCCAGAAAAGTACTTTCGGCGAAAAGAGTTAAAACATTAAATAAACTATGCAATAATGGGAAATTTTCATTATTATTATTATTATTATTATTATCATTGTCATCATCATCATCATTCGATTTCTGCTATGGACACACTACCTACCAAGTCTGCGGAAAGACCTAAGGCAGGTCGTGGTGTGTTGTTATAGCCACATTTCATGTTAATTTTTTTTTTTTTTTTTTTTTTTCCGATGAAGTTGCTAGCGTTACATAGACAAAGTTCTCCTTAGTGTGTGTGCTGTACTTAATAAGACAATTTTCTGTATGTCTCTTAAGCTGGGGTTTCCAGGGATTCTTTCAATGTGTTGTTTTGTTCCATTTTTTTTATTTTATTATTATTATTATTATTATTATTATTATTATTATTATTAATAATAATAATAATAATATATTTTATTCCTCATGATTTATTTTTATTCTATTGCTTCCGGGTCCCAACCAGAGACCTAAGGTCAGAAATCACATCATGACATTTTCCGCCGGGCATCAGAAGACAACGCACATTTTTTCATAGATAAAGCTCTTCGTAAGGTTTGAGCTGCGCTTGGGAGTACAATTTAGTATACAGTGTAACCGGGATATAAGAGACCCGGATATAAGAGAGATTTTCTCTGGTCCCAAATTAGAGCCTGTGTTAATGTATACATATAGACCAAACCCAGATATAAGAGAAACCCGGATATAAGAGACTTCTTCTCCGGTCCCGACAACTCTCTTATATCCGGGTTACACTGTTGTGTAATTGATTGGGGTTGTTGTAACTTCTTCCTTTAATGTCGTTCTTATCATTCAACCCTTAGCCACCTTTATCTAGAGACGAGACGCGTTAAATTTGAGCAACATCTAGCCGACACACTGGGGTTAAAAATAGGAAATTGAAATGATACATATGACACACTCATATCCTCTCTCCCACCTCACTTCCTCACTTCGTTAACTTTGCGTATACTTGATGAGGTCCGTCAAAAACGTGTGAATTTCTTTTCATTTTTCATTTCAGCTTTTGGAAGTAAAGTCTGATGATCCAGAACCCTGTTAAAGGGGTTATGGTGAAATAGCTTATTACATGGAATCTTAACGTGGTCTGTCTTTTATTCATATATATATATATATATATATATATATATTGGATGCCATCTATATTCTATCATTAAAGCCTTCTCTTTCTAAACAGGACTTTATATTAGGCCTCCAACTAATTACCATTTAAATATTTTTTTATTTTCTTTATTTATTTTCTTTTCTTCCCACCAATAAGCGTTGTCCCTTGTTTTTTTTAATTATATAATTTACTCTATTTACCTTTTTGCTTTTTTATTATCATGAGTGGTAATAATAAAACTAATTTTTGTCTGTTCATGGCAGTGATAAAATTTTGCTCCACCGAAAATATATATATATATATATATATATATATATATATATATATATATATATATATATATATATATATATCTGTTTGAATTTCTGGGATGAGGAGTTAGTATTTACTATTGTCCACATCTTTATTGTTATCACAACGTTTCGGCCGTTGTGCCTTCCGGCCTTCACCAGGTGTATATGGATCTGTGCAACCTACAGGAAATTTCGAACGGAACCCTTTATTTAATCTACGTGTGGTAGACTGTATTCGTTTCACCGTCCATGTCTAGGGGTATCTCATCCAGTTGTTCTGTTTAATACTCCATATTTATTGCTCGCCCTATTTCCACTGAATCCAAATACATCCTGCCCCACTCAGGGACAGAACTCATAATTATTGTAGCACCAAATTTACAAACCATTGCTTTACTCCACTAGGCTAGTAACATCCTAGCCGGGGCAACATCCAAGAAAGGCTTTGGCAAACAGCAATTTCAAATTAGAACTAGATGCAATCAGTAGTGTAACCAATTGCTGACATTATCTCTCCGCGCGTCCCCTAAGGTTATATCCGGAAAAGGAAATTGCTGACTATTCGTAGAAAACAGGTTTCATGTCAGGGAAATGAAAATTAGAGCCGAATATAGACTCAACAGACGCTCTATGATGAAATGAGTTGTCTCTCGACAAGTTATATGACTTCATACAGACCAAAAATGACTCAATTTACAATTAATAGTTACAGAAAATATACAAGCATTACATTACATTATCTATCTATCTATCTATCTATCTATCTATCTATCTATCACAATTTGTTCTATCTATATCTCTCTGTTCATATCTATCATTTCATGCCCATAAATATCTAGTCTTAGCAATTTATGTATCTATCTCATTCTGGTCATATGTATCTCTCTATATATCCTTTTATCTATCTATCTATCTATCTATCTATCTATCTATCTATCTATCTATCTATCTATCTATCTGTTATGGAGTGGTTTCACAGTGGAGGCTTGTATTTGTACTAAGTCGGACCTAAAATAGCTTCGACGTACAAAACGTTAGGAGCTTGATATAATAGGTAATGACGCAGAGAAATCTAGTTGTGGTCGCTGATACTTTAGTATCCGACTAACTGTCGTCCGACATCGACTGACTGACCGACCCACTGAGCGACTGACTTGTTACTCCTACTTATTATAGGTGGGATAGTCTATTAACTGTAGAATAGGTGTTTTCCACTGTAACACTATCTATCACAGTTTGTTCTACCTATATCTCTCTGTTCATATCTATCTATCATTTCATGCGCATTAATATCTAGTCTTAGCAATATATGTATCTATCTCATTCTGTTCATATGTATCTCTATATATATCCTTTTATCTATCTATCTATCTATCTATCTATCTATCTATCTATCACAGTTTGTTCTATCTATATCTGTTCATATGTATCTATCATTTCATGCGCATTCACAAAAAATATTCACAACTATCAATTACATTAATATTTAATCTTAGAAATTCACAACTGAAGATGATCCTGGAGTAGATTGAAAATACCAGAGAAAATAAAAGAAATGACCAAAACTACGGCGTTTTTCTTAATCAGTTTTGTAATTGCACAAAGAAATTTATCCATGAACTTGAAAGGGTTAAAATAAGATAAATAGACATAATATGTATAGATTATTCAAAAGAAACATGCTTGAATATATATATATATACTTACTTATATATATATATATATATATATATATATATATATATATATATATATATATATATATATATATATATAAATATGACTTTTTTCAATTTTAATATTTGCGTCTTTATTTTTTTTTAACTCCGTTATGGATGCGAGCTCTTTGATGTTTTTACATGTGCTCACGTGTTCCTTCATAAACGTAATTGTTTTTCAATTCTAGATTTTTCCATTGTATATTTTGTAATTTTTATTTTTCATTGTTATTTTTGCTTGTATGTATAACTTTGATTGTTTATATATATATATATATATAATTTTCTGTTGTAATTATTATATTATGCAATATTAGTAAGTTGCAATGATACACACACACACACACACACACACACACACACACACACACACACACACACACACATATATATATATATAAATTCATGAATTATTCACACAAAAACAAATGCAAAGGTTAATGATTTAATTGGCGAGAAATCCATCGTCGCAAACAATTCAAATAATATACAAAAACCTCCGAATCCGTTATGAATGAAAAGATCCTTGTTTCCATAAATTTCTGCCGTATTAGTTCTTATTTTACTACAAGCTTTCGTCTGTTCCTACAGACATCTTCAGGTATAGAATAGATGTTGATCTTGTTTTTTCTCTTAGTAATAAGAGGACAACGAAAATATATGTATTGTTGTATCCGAAAATGCTATTGGAAATGAGTTATTGTTTTTGGAGCGCGCAGTAGCAACGCTGAGTTTGATTTAAAATTTTTTAAAGTTGTGCGTTCATGTACAACTATGGTGATGAACGAATTTTTTACTGGGAAATTTTCTGTCACAGTGGCATGAACTATATTGTTCAATAATTACAGTAATGTCGCACTTATTATCCAAAAGTCGCACTTGGATCAGTTATTTTAATTACGATAAACGTGCAATCAATTTATAAATTCATGAATTATTCACACAAAAACAAATGCAAAGGTTAATGATTTAATTGGTGAGAAATCCATCGTCGCAAACAATTCAAATAATATACAAAACCTCCGAATCCGTTATGAATGAAAAGATCCTTGTTTCCATAAATTTCTGCCGTATTAGTTCTTATTTTTACTACAAGCTTTCGTCTGTTCCTACAGACATCTTCAGGTATAGAATAGATGTTGTTCTTGTTTTTTCTCTTAGTAATAAGAGGACAACGAAAATATATGTAATGTTGTATCCGAAAATGCTATTGGAAATGAGTTATTGTTTTTGGAGCGCGCAGTAGCAACGCTGAGTTTGATTTTAAATTTTTTTTTTGTTCAATAATTACAGTAATGTCGCTACAAGCTTTTTTTATTTATTTATTTTCAAATAGGATCGTCCAAAAGTAAGCGACAAAATTGAGAAAAACAATGTAAACAGTATGCTATATTCAAATTTTTTGATTTCCTCTAAAGAATAAGTCTTACTTAGTCATTTGTAAACGTTGCATCAGCCGGCACCATGGCGAAACGCCAAAAACTTGATTACTCTGTGAGACAAGCTATTGTGAAGCTACACAAGGAAAAGCACACCATTAGAGAGATTTCAGAGAAAGTGAAACGTTCCAAGAGTGTTGTAGGCAGGGTTGTTAAATCCTACAATGATGCTGGCAAAATAGTTAGTTCTTTTAAAACCGTTTAACGAGTTGACAGCAATCATAACTGAAGTGGATGATGTAGAAGGTATAGATATATATATATTAAGAGAATGAGATAGATAGATAGATAGATAGATAGATATATTAAGAGAATGAGTTAGATATATTTTAAGAAAGATAGATATTAAGAGAATGAGATAGAGATATTAAGAGAATATATATATATATATATATATATATATATATATATATGAAGATAGATAGATAGATAGATAAGTGGACAGGTATATTAAGAGAATGAGTTAGATACCGTTTAAGAAAGATAGATATTGAGAGAATGAGATGGATATTAAGAGATTAAGATAGATAGATAGACAGATTAAGAGAATGAGATAGATAGATAGACAGACAGGTAGATAGGTATATTAAGAGAATGAGTTGGATACATTTTAAGAAAGACAGATATTAAGAGAATGAGATAGATAGATAGATAGACAGACAGACAGGTAGATAGGTATATTAAGAGAATGAGTTAGCTACAGTTTAAGAAAGATAGATATTGAGAGAATAAGATGAATATTAAGAGAATAAGATAGATAGAGAGATAGATAGATTAAGAGAATGAGATAGATAGGTAGGTAGATAGATAGATAGATAGACAGACAAGTAGATAGGTATATTCAGAGAATGAGTTGGATACATTTTAAGAAAGACAGATATTAAGTGAATGAGATAGATAGATAGATAGATAGATAGATAGATAGATCAAATAGAGATATGGACAGATTTATTGAATATATTTTGGATAGGTCGATGTTATTTTCGAATTATTGTATAGGAATGCATTCCACATGTCTAACCCTGAAACTTTCGAATCGAAAGATCTGCTTATAAATTTCAATCAAGACCAATCAATTATACGATTCGTTGAACTAGAAAATAAATCGAAAGGAGCGGGTTTTCAACCACTGATCTCTGGTAACCTGTCACATAATTAAGGAGGCTCAGTTCAAATTATTTGGCCAAGTGCTTTTGATCAAAAATTACAATAAACTTTTACTGTTAGTTGATTCATGATAAAGGCGCTCTCTCTCTCACTGTATATATATATATATATATATATATATATATATATATATATATATGTGTGTGTGTGTGTGTGTGTATGTGTGTGTGTGTGTGTGCGTGTGTGCGTACGTGTGTTTGTCTGCTGGCTTTCCTATAAGCATCTTAATATTTGATGGTCGACTGTTTGCAGAAAGGACAAATTGAATTCTGGGGAAGTGTTGAAGTTAATTCACCAGACTTAGGTGCGTCAACATTTACGAAAGATGGAGTAAGCGAAAAGATAATGGTCACTTTTTCATATTGTCTAATCAACCACTTAGGTGGGCATTATCAAAATGAGTTTGAGGTCACAAGCTAATAGGATAATGCCGAATGAGACGCGAACAAGCAGATGTCGGTTGTATACGCAAGTTCGTCATTATCCGTGAATGAATATGACTTCTTAGGAAAGATAGTGAAGAAGTTTTCTGCTGCTTTTTGTTTTCGTGTTCAGACGAGTGCTTCTCATAGAGTTTGTGAATCTATCATAAAAATTCAGGATGTGAAATTAGTAAATACCAAACACTTCTAATACGTCAGTGCATGAATCAGTCGTAACAAATTTAGTATTGGAGATAGAGAGATTAGACATAGAATAGACTTTTTTAGGTTCAGTTTCGCACAACAGGACCAATAACTAAAAAACTAAAAAGAAAACTCATGTATCTTAAAAAACGTCGTCATATAGAAATCTTCATATTGATGTCATTCATGGCGGCTGAGTCGTTCAGAAATATCTTAACTGTCAGCTTTATAGAACCGTTTTTTCCGATCAATGATTAAAATGGCTTTGAACGAATGAAGCCATTTCTTTTAATGAAGACTATCCTTCTTTCAAATTCATTGACTGGCGCTACAGAATCATAAAAAACTGTGCCTAATAACAGAAACCACGTCACACGAGCATATTCAGAAACAACAACATATTACTGCCTGTAGGAACGCTTTAGAGTCTGATGCAAACGTTACTGTCTGTTGGAATACGTTACTGTCTGATGCAATACATTAATATCAGTTGGAACATGTTACTGTCTATTGGAACACGTTACTGTCTATTGGAACATGTTATTGTCTATTGGAACACGTTACTGTCTGGCGCAATACGTTACTGTCTGTTGGAACACGTTACTGTCTGTTGGAACACGTTACTGTCTGAAGCAATATGTTACTGTTTATTGGAACATATTACTATCTGTTGGAACACGTTACTGTCTGAAGCAATACGTTACTGTCTATTGGAACATGTTACTGTCTGGGGTAATACACTACTGTCTGCTTTGATCACGTTAATGTCTGCTGGAACACGTTATTAGAACATGTTACTGTCTTTTTGCATAACGTTTTTTTTTTGTTGTTTTCACTGTAATAAAGTTTGGGTGCAGATTCAATGATAACACAAGGCATTTTATACCCTTCAGTATTTTCTCAGTTACTTTCAACCTGTTCAACTGTGAAGCGGTCCTCAAATTCGAACCAATAACATTATAGCGCGCGGAAACGGATAGCGGGTCATCTAGACGAAGAGTAGCACTGTAATACCACGGTCGACATTTCGTGTTGAGCGCAAATTTGACTATACAAGTCCATATGATGACACAAGGGAAATAACTCCTTCATCAAGGAATATATTTGCCTTTGCTTTCAAACCAACTGTAAATATGAAATGAATTAGTAAGTAAACAAAAAAAATCATCAATCAAGGAATGAAATTTTAATTTGAACTTTTTCCTATAGGAAATTTGAATAGTTTGATTATTATATTTTTAGTATTCTCAAAATACTACTTTTATTGAAGACTTGTTTTTATATATTTTATTGTTTATGCTTTATTTCAGGAAATAGACTTGGGAAAGTAGTTTTGATTAAATAAAAGTTTTGAAGAGTTACATTTTTTTGATTGGGCTAGTAAAAATGGTTGACGATGCCGCAGAAGGTGACGTCCACTAAATATATATATATATATATATATATATATATATATATATATATATATATATATATATATATATATATATGCGTCTGTGTGTATGTGTGTATGTATGTGTGTGTATGTGTATGTAGGTGTAAAATTTTAGTTTTAATAAAAGTTGTTTCAAAATAAAAAATATTTAAAATTTCCGCTTGATTGATTTCTTCAATACTAAAGTCTGTTTTGTCACATTTAATTTAAGATTGGGATTTAGACATTTATTTCTTCTCGAATTTTATTCTTTTATTCTTATATTCTTTTATTCTTTCCTAGTATCCTTCTTTCTTTTTTCATTCATTATTTTTTCACTCATTCATTCTTTTCTTTATTCTTTCATTCATTCATTCGTACGTTCTTTCATTCCTTCCTTCTTTCTTTCTTACTACAATCGCTCTCTCTCTCTCTCTCTCTCTCTCTCTCTCTCTCTATATATATATATATATATATATATATATACATATTTATATACATATACATACATATATATACATATGTTTCGCTGGGGGTTTTGACAAATATTGGATCGTTTCTTGGCCTTTGGCTGAGATTCGATCAAGGCTTCGACTAGCTTGGACTGGCTCCGGCCTGGACTTGCTAGGACAAATCATGACCAGCTTTGACTAAGCTCTGACCAGCTTGGATATGCTTTGACCAATTTTGACCAGTGTCCTTTGAGTGGAAACACTCGGGTTTCCCACGTTAAACGACCTTGTGTCACATCTTGACCTTGTGGGAGTCAAGTAAATACCTATACCTATATACATATATATATACAGATTTATATACATATATATATATATATATATATATATATATATATATATATATATACATACATATATATATATATATATACATATATATACATACATATATATATATACATACATATACATACATACATACATACATACATATATATATATATATATATATATATATATATATATATATAAAAGAAAATATACAGAAAAAAGGAACAAAAATCTTAATATGCAATTATGCTGTATTAATGTTAATATAATATCAACGTCGGACGTTTCGGTCTATTTTAGACCATCATCAGGACATATTCATAAAACATAATTAACCTTAGACTATATTCATTATATTAACATTAATACAGCATAATTTCATATTAAGATTTTTGTTTCTTTTTTCTATATATTTTTCTTCATACTATCGGATCTGTATCCATATATTTGCTTACATATATATATATATATATATATATATATATATATATATATATATCGTCTCATATTGCTATCTTACTTTTTCGTAGTGCAACAAGCAGTGCAATTTCGCATAGGTCACTTTTTATCCAGTTGCTTCTTGAGAATCAAATATTATCCTGGTTTAATGCTAAGGCGTACTAGAGTTACCTGTAAAACACAGTCAGTGTTTAGTACACACACACACACACACACACACACACACACACACACACATATATATATATATATATATATAAATATCTTTCATTGAATAATATAGACATATTGTGTCTATTTATTTTAATACTGACCCTTTCCAGTTCTTTAATCAGTTTTTTGATGTGAAGATGAAATTCATCATGGAAAGCGCCGTATTTTTCTAACTCAAGTACTTTCGATCTTTTGTAAGATCATCTTCAAGGGTAAATTAAAAAAGACAAACTTATTGTAACTGCGATAAAATCTGCCTTCCGTTGTGAGAATGAAACTGTGCTCTAAATTTTAAGTTTAATATTGAATTGGATTGAGTTTTAGTTTCGAAACAGTAATTTCTGTGTTGCGATGGAATCATATTTTTCAAGAAATAATTATAATATATATATATATATATATATATATATATATATATATATATATATATATATATCTGACGATCGCTAAAAGCGTGAAACCCAGGATCACAAACTCACGTCTATCCAACGAAATATGTTAGTTATATCTCTGCTATTGAGCGCTTTCTAATAAGTACCGCGCATATAATATATAAATAATTATACATATATATATATTTATTTATATTTAAATACACTTTTTCATATATATATATATATATATATATATATATATATATATATTTCAAGTAAAAGGTGCAAATGTAATTTATAAATTCATGAATCATTCATACAAAAAACAAATATAGAGGTTAATGATTTAAATGATTTTTATATGAATGATTCATGAATTTATATATATATATATATATATATATATATATATATATATATGTATATATATTATAATTATTTCTTGAAAAATATGATTCCATATATATATATATATAGCATAATGAGAAGCCATTTATACTTTCTTAATATGTATATAGAAAAAGTTACAAATTAAAAAAAGAATAATTTTTTTTATGAAAGTATTTATTTATTTATATATATATTTGATATTTCAGACTGACCTCAATCTTTCTTCAGAAATAACTGTTTGTTACAAATAAATTAAAATTACTGTTTGTTTACAAGTAGCGTCCGTCGCGAGACGCGGACGTCACGTGATATGGAACGCCACTGTATTCGAATATTCCTAACGTAAATCTAACTGTAATAATATTCTAGATGTTTAAAAAAATATCTTATTTTTTTAATTTACAACTTATATATATATATATATATATATATATATATATGTTGAAAAGTTTGAATGTGACGCAATTTGTCCAGTAGGACTTCACCAGGCAAAAGTGATGAGACTACACATGCGCCCGAAGGTAACTGAGGTCTTAAAGGACGAAACGCGTAACGCGGGAAACTTTTTCACTTTATTATTTATGGAAATGTTCTTGATATATAAAATTTTATATATCGTTTTCCCACATATACAGGATGCGATGTATAAATTATACTTATAAATGACGCGAAAATGAAAATAATACTGACATCTCATTTTAAAGTATATATTTACCAAAATTACACACACACACACACACAAAAAAAATCTTTAAATACTAAAAAGTACATTTATTCAATAAAATCGCTACTCGCTTTAACCACAGACTCCAGACGACTTCGGAATCTCCCGCTACTCTTCTGTACGGCCTCCATGTTTAAGTTGGCATAATCCTTGCCTTCATTCATCTTTGGTGTTACAAGCAGTTTACTTGATCTGTCGCTCACCTACGCCCTACATATAATAATAATCAAGAGGGTTGCAGTCTGGAGAGTGAATTGGCCAGATCTAAGAAGTGACGTGGTCGCACAAATTGTTTGACAGCCATGACTGGTTTCTCCTGCTTGTGTGGCATGGTGTAAAGTACTGTTGACAGAGATAGGGTCTTTCAGCAGCCACCCTCTTGACCCAGGGCAGCACTACCTCTTCAAGGCACTCCATGTTGAGCCTGAGGTTTTTACCAACAAATTCGTGAGTTCTTTTCTTGTCAAAACGAACAGAGTAAGTTTTCCAAGCTGCCGTACCTTCGTAATCACCATTAGACTCATCCAACTCTTTCCGAATCCGCTGCACTGTCCACAGATTGACACACAAACACACTGAAATTTTTGTATTGTAGCTTCGGGCGCGAATGTCAAGTATATTTATTTCATTTTGATTAAAGCATGTTTGGTTAAATAATTTACACATATTATGTCTATTTATTTTAGTGTTAATCCTTTCATGTCCACGAATTAAATTCTTAGTGGATGTAGAAAATTGATTTCCCATAAATATACCGTACTTTGAAACTATATTTTTATCATATATATATATATACATGCACACACACACACACACACACACACACACACACACACACACACACACACACACATATATATATATATATATATATATAGAGAGAGAGAGATAGATAGATAGATAGATAGATAGATGAATAAAGATATACTCGCACGCACGCACATATATATATATATATATATATATATATATATATAAGCTTGTATCGAAACCCGGACAATTCGGTCTCTGTCAGAGTTGTTACCCTTGGGCCATCAACGCCCGGTTTTGTCCATTTGTTAATATGAATCTCTTCAGTAAAATGAACGGATCCCTTCGGTTGTTGGCCGTTTGTTTACATTTGTAAGATCAATACGCTAGATTTGGTTGGCTCATTCTGTCGTGCTCAGTGGTAGAGACTCTGACTGTCACGAAATCGGTTGGGTTTCAATATCGGCATTCGGTTGTCAGGTCGCCTTGAAGAGCTCTGATATAGCGAAACAGTCCAGTTTGCAAATGACACACACACACACATATATATATATATATGCGATTGTAACGAAAGTAATATATAAATTCCAATGTTCCCGTCATTAATCCAAAAGAGGACTCGATAGTAGAGCGATAATTATTTATTTATTATAATTTTTATCATATAGACAAAACCATT